AGAGGTAACTACCTGTGGAAAACTGCTATTCTGTCCCTTGGCATATGAGGCAGAAGGGATTGTGGAAGGATACTTTGATGCTGGCTGATACGCTCCATCAGTAGAAAAGAGAAAAGAGCCTGCTTAATGAAATGAAAAAGAGTGTTTAAGTAAAAAAAGAGAATGTTATCATTTTCTGATCCTTTCATTAGCTTTAGGGTCTTATGGTTGTATATAAATAAAGTTCATGCACTATTCATATATTAATAAAATAATGCATGTAACAGCATGTTCTTATTTCATTGTATTTTTTTTTCTAAAACTTCTGTTGGTTTTATGATATGTCACAGGGGAGTAAAGACCAAGTTTTCTTTGTGAACCAGGTTAAACTGAGCAAACTTTCTCAAAGTTTTTGTTTAGCCATACCCGAGACTTCCAGTTAAGTAGAAGCTATAACTGAGACATTTCTGCAGGTTGTAAAGTATAGTTAATTGCATCTTTTTTTCCTAAGTTCAACACAAGATATAAAACATTTAACGTTTGCTTTTGCTAATATTACAATTGATTCCAGTTCCAGTAAGGATTTAAGTTAACATAAAGTAAAATCATTGAAAGAAAATGCAGGCAAACCTTGATAAAGACCAGATGAAATTGTAGTGGTATTCAGTTAGACTCATACACACATTGTATTAATAATAATAAAAAGAAGTTCAAAAACATGATCTTATTTCATAAGGATTTTTTTTAAATGATTTTATCAGCCTACTTTGTATTTCTTCAAAATAGAAATTCACATTGATTGACTAGTTCAGCATGGTGACTTTGAGGTTTTGAACCCGTGATTTCATTAATGCCACAAGCATGACTAAAATAGTAAATTTGAAATTAATCTTTTTTTAGACATTAATAAGTCATAGTGAAAAGAAATAATTAGCATATCTTCGAGGCAACAGAGGAACACTGGAAAAAAAAGAAGCCATGTAAACCAGAGCGTTTAAAGATAATTGCCAGGCATACATCATTTATTCCAGATTAGCTAAGGTCACGCACTTGATGCTCCCGGTTTTTGCATCCATATATGTGGTCATTGTTGCCATCAAACTGCTGCATTTTGATGCCTGTATTTAATGGACTGAGAATAGACCATGAAGAAAAGTACTAAGACCAGCAAATATAAAGAGCACATACTCTGTTCAGTGAAACAGTGACCTTTTTAACCTTGCTGTATGCAGGAAATATCCACTTGTATTTTAGTAATTGCATTAGCTTCCTTAATGGCATTTGATACAGATGGTATAGGAAGAACTTATCTACAGCTGAAGAATGCAGGCAACAATTTTAGTTTGAATTGCAAATATTTTTACTACTGGAATTAAGCAGGGGGAAAGAGAAATTGAAATAGATTTGTGGCTAGCCTCAATTAGAGAAGTCGCTATTTTTCAAAGCTCATTATCATTGTTCTTTCCTATTATATTAAAATTAATAAAATTTTGTGCACTAAAAATCTCTATGAAATACTGTGAAAGGAGAGGAAGAATAGGTACAGTTATCCATGCATTTGGGCGTTAAGAATTGATTGTATTCTGAATTTATGAAAATATTGCAGCCTATTTTTGCCTTCTCTGTTCTCTGTAAAATGGGAACAAGCTATTTTCTTCTTCCTCTTTTTGTCTGCTAGCATGCACGTGGTCCAAAGAAGGAAATCAGCCCCAAGTGTCTGTGCCCAGCCTAAAGCAGTGGGCCTCTTAACACAGGTCAGACTTCTTAAAATAGAGGATCGTGCAAATTTAAAAACGAAAGATTATTAAAATGGTCTTACGTCTCATCTATGTATGTATAAGTGTAACAGGACAGGTATAATGATTCTTCCTTAACTTATTTCTACGGTTTTTGATTATGTGGGATCTTCATAAGCCAGAGATTGCTTTCTGGCAGATTTTCCATAATAGGTATAAATGGATCAGTCCTCCTTGAGTTCTGGTCTGCTTTTATCTCTTGAGCCTGCACTATATCTCTGAAGCTTAGTTGTGTATCAGAAAAAAAAAATCTTTCTTCTTTTTATTTTAAATCTTTGCCTGTTTAATTATGAAGAGGAAAAGACGGGAAGAAGCACAGGGGACATAAAACCTCCACTCCTGGCAGCTGGGCAGGAGGAAATGGAGCATAGGATGGAGGACACACGTACGGGACCCTCGTATGATTTGCGTGGATGGAGCCCCTGAAGTGCAAGGAGGAGAATGATAAGCAGGAAGCTCATGACTCTGATGCGAGTGCTGCTATGAATGTTTCCTTTTGCTTCAAGTAAAACGGATTGCAGAAATGTATGCTATGAATACTTAAAGGAAAGAAAAAAGTGGTGAATAGAGCACACTGCACACAATGCAGTTTCTGTTTCCTTCTGCCATCCCGTCAAGTAATTTGTGTTTCCTCATTTTGTGTTATGGCTGCTCCTATCTTTGCTTATTTATAACTACAGACTTGCACACTTTATTTCTGCTTTAGGCTGAGCTCTCTGCAGAGGGAATTCTCTGCATCCATCTGAGTCTCCCTGAGCTGTTTTTATGAGGCCTTCCTAGCTCCTTCTCTGTTTTCACATGTGCAAATTGCTACATTTTGGGGTTGTTTATTTGTTTCTTTTTGACCTGAAGACCAGCTTCTTACAACACCGAATTCCCAAAGCGATTGGTGATGAGAGGTATTAATGGCTCCCATCAGTGGGTTATTTGATCAGCAGGCAATTAAAAAGTGGGTTACAACTGATGGGTGTGCTGGTGTGCTATCAGTTGTGGGTTCTGTGGCCTTCTCTTTCCTTTCCTGATTTTCCCCCAAATCCATTTAGTTCTCCTGTTTCCTGCTGGACTGCTCCATGCAGGCTTGCCATAGAATAGCTGGCATATACAAAAAGTTACCAAGAGATGTAGAGACAAATGGATAAAGGCATCAATTTTAGGTCAAAGGGCTGTCTACTCATGCTGTAACATAAGCCGGCTTTAAAAGAAAGTTTGGTCTAGTCTATAAACCTTCTTATTGTCGCAAACAGAAAATTTTGCAGTAAGGAGTTGTGGGTTCCTCCAGGGAGTACAGATTTATTTTGTGCACAGCATTTCTGTTGCTAAGGGCAGAGCATCTTTGTTACCTGGGCGGTAGCAGTGAGGCCTGGGCCTATTTTGGTGCCGTTTTAGACGTGTTCGTTTTGTTGCATGCTCCAAACTTTTCCCACATTGTCTGCAGCTCATCCTAGCTGGTTCTTGCTGCCACGTGTCTTTGAACGTAAAGAACTTCTCATTCAGTGTGGGAAGGGCACACTCTGTCCGTGCCTTTAAATTTTGTCATCCAATTTTCTGTTCTTTTCGGAAACCTGTTAATGTTTCAGAAAAATGGCTGCCAATACATAAATCTTTTTTGCAATTTAATTGGTTTATCTTTATTTTTCATAACTGTGTGTAATGCTCACTCTGGAGATATTTTTTTTACATATATATAATTAGAAGGTAAAGATATTTGCAAATTTAGGAGACTAGCACGGGAAGGAGCTTTGTTTTGACTAAATCACGTTTTAGGGACCTACAGTCTCATTTTGAAAAAGGGCTTTGATGGAAAAGGTGTTTTGTTTTCTCTTAGTTTTACAGAACGTGAGGTGGATTCGTAATAGCACACAGAACATTTGATGATAAACTATTTGCTGTATTCTTGCCACCTGCATTGCCTTAACTGGAGAGTTTGGTCTTCTGCTGAGGTTTTCTTTGTCAGCTTTCAAGCGGTCGAGGTAGCCTGCAGGTTGATAAGTATCCCATTAATCTTTCTGATCCTCTAGCACTTGAGCACGAGAAGAGCTGATCAATTACAGCAATTGTCTCCCTAAATGAGCTTTTCACATCTGCCTCTTATTTCATTAGTTAACTGTCTGCTCATATATCTGATAGAATGGAATCCGAGTGGCCTCTTACAGCTTGTTCTGTGTTACTGTACAATAAGGATGGGGTTGTTAGCAAAATGGGCACAAAAGGGTATTTATCCGCTTCCCGCAATAAATATACATGCTATTGTGTAGGAGGGCTTCTGTCTCTAATCACTGTTTGTGGAATCCTACTTAAAGCACATCAGTTTGCTGTTCAGCAAGCTGCTTAGTCCTTCGTTGTAAGCTTTATAGATGTGTATTTATCATTTTTATAACACAACAAAATGGTCTCATGCCCTAACCCATCATATCAATGTATTACCTGCATGATTTTAGAGAACAGAATCTCCTACATTTAAAGCTAATGGTAGAAATGTAATTTCCTTCATGTCTTTTTAGAATGCATCTTTTATTTGCAAAGATAGGATATCCTTGTCTCAGAAAGTAAATTTGCATTTCCAAAGCTGCAAACAAGTATTGACAGTAGTGGTAATGTTTCTATGATTATTCAAATTAAGTACACGTAGTGAGCAACAATTGCATAGTTTGGTTGGAGGCTCCTTTTAAGAAACACAAACTGTAAACTATGGATTTCACTTTTTAATTAAAAAAAAAAAAAGTTTTCACAGGAATGCTGCTTTCATTAATGTTCAAACTTTCGATTACAAGAAAATTAATTACCAGAAGAAAATGTAAATAATTTCCAAACAAAGGCCTCTTTCACTATCTGTTAGTATCTGATCAGGTTATTCTAAAGAATTTACAAGATTTCATTTTCAAAGATTTTTTTTTATATTTGGCATTTATGAAATTGCTTTGGACAACATTTTATTGGGGGGGAGGGGGTTGCTAAAAAAGTCAACAGAGTTAAATGCTAAAAAGACTCTCTTAAAAAGTATTCTGGCCTGCTTCTGGTACAGATTATTTCAGGTGATTCTTTGATGCTTTCTGAACATTCAGATGTGTTTGAATCTGTAATGCTCAGGATATTTGTTCTTGAAACTTACTTCAGTGAATTTGAGTGACGGAAAGTACAGACGTTTTATGGAATTACTAAGACCATGGAGGTGTAATAACTAATTATCAGCAATCTTTTAAATTCACTTTTGACTGTTTATTGCAGGTCTGGTTTGTATGAAGTCGAGTACTTCAGTGGTTGAACTTGTTATGCTCCTTTGTTCACAGGTAAGAATTATTTGCTTTTAACTGTATTAATTTCTTTGCATAGTGATAGGTTCCTATCAACCTAAGAACTGGGTCCATTTCAGGATAGGGAAGTACAAATTAATCTCTTCCAAAATAAAATGTATTTTTTCCAAGTAGTATGTAGTATCTCTATATCCATAGGGTATACAAAGGACGTATGCATTTGCTCTTTGGAATGTATGAAGAATGTATATTATTTACTTTTTCTGTGTATGAACTCTTTCTCAAGCCAGTTCTTATTTAGAATATATGAATAGAATGTTTTCATAAATATATGTTAACATTGGTCTTTGAATTTGTAACTTTAAATGTCTTGCTTTCGAGTGACATTATTACTTGTGTAATGGCACAAATTATTGCATATTTTATATAGGATTCTGGTTTATATATGATCATGGTTTTAACAGCCCTCAAGAACCAGCGGATACCAGCAGAACATTTCTGTTCTTAAAACGTTGTAGCCATGCTGTGCTAATTGTTTAGCATAGTAGTAGTTATTCTGTGAAAAATCTGAAACAATTAGGATCTTGTATTAGAATCACAATTAAAATAATCCAAAGTAAAATATTTTATAGTGCTTGCTTACATCTTAATTTTAATTTAATTTCTTTTTTACAGAAGTGAAGTATTATACATAATTTCATTTATTTATAACTTTTTACCTTAAATTACCAGTAATGAGTCGTCAACACTCAAGACATTTAAGATTTTTGCTCATTTTATATAAGACAAATAATTGCATAACTTCAATATTTTACAGTTCTCTAAAGACTTATTAACAGTATATCACTTACCAAGTTTCCCACAGATTTAAAATAGCAGTTAAACACATATCAGATTAGTATATAAAATATCGAGATTTACTTGTTATATTATTAGCAAGAAAAAACACTTGGTAGATTATGTGACCATTCACTGTGAATATTGAAAGTATGCACAAAAATGCACTAAAACCCAGTCAGTTTCTCAGGGCACTTAAAATGAAGATCTACTTTTCAGGAATTATCTGAAAATAATTAACATTTACAACTGAATTTGGAGGAGGGGGCTCCAACTTACCTGCTGTTTGCCCGACCGTAGGTTGCGTTTCTTCAGGCTTGTGTCATAAGGAAATCATTAGATCTTGTTTTCCTTTTTTTTTCCTTCCCTTTTTTTTTTTTTTTCTCTTTTCTCTCTTAGCCAAGATGGATATTGGTTAGGGAAAAGAAAAAGAAAAATACATCCTTGGCAGGAACCCTCGGTGGGGTTTGAACTTCAAACCTCCTCCTGCAGGGCATTTGAAAAATTTGTTACCTAATGGTTAAATCCTGGGTTGCGGGAAAATTCCGAAAAGAAGGCTTTTAAGCCTTATGTTCATGTCATGAAATTTTTTGTTTGTTTGTTTCTTCTCGAAGAGCTTTCGAAACCCTTACTTTAGGGAAGGAATAACTTGAAATCCTTTCGTCCTTCGTCTTTGGTTTTACTGCAGTTCTCAGGAATAAAGCGGAATGTAACATTAGGGTCTAGTGTCTTTGATGGCCTCATCATCTAATCATAGGTTTAACATTACTCATTTGCTGGCTCCAGGAATTCCTGCCATTAAGGGCCCTAGAGATGAAACTTTGCCTCAGATATTGATTGAAAGGAAGAGAGAGAAATTTAAGCTCTTTCTGCAATGCTTTCTCTTTAGACATCCCAGTAAAGCTATGTAACAAATGGAGCTAAATCAATTTGTATTTTATGACCCTTATACAAGTTACTTATTGTTTCAAAAGAGTCAACTATTTTAAAAATAAGCTTCATTGTATACCTGAAATAATGTTAAGAGTCTAATCATTTGAAATTTTGACCATTTATTTAGATTCTCTAATGTTTGTGTGGGAGAGAACTCTTTTCCATCTACTCAATTAATTGAGAAAATCACCATTTAAAATTTTGATACCCCGTGTGATATTCTATGGTAATTTCCTTAGCTACTAAAGATAGGATAAAAAAATAGTATCCCCTACTGCCTGTTTATTACCAAGTACTTAAGAAGCTAATGCTCTAACATGGTTCATGGAGTGAGACTGCGTGTTCCTGTAGCAAACGGTCAATAGGGGGCTGTAGGGGTGCAAGTTGCCTTCTCCTCCCCTCCTCTTTACCAATTGTAAACAGGAGGCTTTTGTAAATTCCGTCTCTACAGGATTTTGAGTTTCATCCTATAGGCACCTGAACAGTCAGGCCTGCGGTTCCACTCATGTGCATGAAAAATTTACTTAAACTATTTCATTTTTTAAAACATCAGGTAAATACTACAAAAATACTAATAAGACACGATTGTAATGTAGCTACAAGGAAAGAGAATGGCAGACAGGCAAACAACAACATAATCCGGTATATAACTAACCAGGAATTAGGAGATTAGGAGTTAGTGTCCTCAGGAAATGAGATGAACTCATGGCTAGATGAAGTCAGACAGGGCTGATCTTCTCCATAACATGAACTGAGTGCAGCAGAAGGGAAAGACGAGGTGTATTGTGTTTTTTTTTATTATTTTAGTAAATCTGGTGTAACCAGGGCTTCTCTTTCTGACATGGGTAAATCCTTCATATTCAAATTGAATGGCATTCTACAGGTTATGTAGATGGAGGGGTTTGAAATGGGTGTCATTCAGAAGATAGATGACGGCATTAATGACCTTTGAAAAGTAGAATTTTGTGTGCACAGAACAGAGTAACTTTAGACATGGAAAAGGAAAGGGAAATGCAAAGTTTGTTTTCCTTTCATTTGCTACAGCAAATTAGATGCTTTTATGCTCTTTATGTTGGAAATTCCATGTTAACGACTACAGATTAGCAAGGATGTCAGATTTTTTTTTCTTATCTGAGCTCCTGAATAAACTCAACATTGCCAGCGGCTCAGGTCCAAGGTATGGTCTAAATTTACATGAAATATCACATTACAAATGTCTGAAGGTACATGTCAGGGATAATTCAGTTCATATGGGCAGCCTTTTAGACTCTGAGGGATATGCAATCAAGTCTTTCCCCCAAAGGAATTTGGAGTTTCTGTGAAAAATACATTTTAAGTTTTAAAGGAACTCCTGTAGGGATAGTGCATCATTTGTGAGTTTGAAGAAGAAAAAAGTTATAGTCTTTGTTTTTCAGACCATCTCTCATACCATAATGTGCTTCCTCCCAACCTTTTCTTGTTATCACCCACTTATTAGACTATAGGTTAGGTTTATTTGAGATTTTCTTTTTTATATTTCTTGTATAAACTACAAATATACATTCTTGAACTTGACATGTGTTTTTTCACTTGAAATTTATAGTAAACATCTAATGATTTTCACTTTTCATGAAACAGGCGTTTTCATTTGGATTTAGTCTATTTTAACATAAAACGGATGAAGATGTGTTATGTTTGACAAGATCTGTACTTGATTAGCGAGTCTTTGTTCCTTCAGCCTAGCTATGCCTGTCACAGATGCGTTGCTGCTTTGTATGGCAGATCTTTTAAATAAACCATACAATTAAAAAACCTACTTTTTTCAGGGTAGTTCATTTTCAAAAGCAAATTTAGTATTCAGTAAACTTTTTCTTAGTTTTTCCCCAAACACTGCAGTAATTTATAATTACTTCCAGATCTGCATTTTTTTCCCTTTGGAGATGGAGCTTCTGCACAAATGGAGTGATGGTTTTCCAGAGGAGTCTGGTCATACACTACTTGTATTTTTCTGTATCTTATCTATGTGCAAGAATAATTTATTTTCTTAAATAAAATACTCTCTCTCAGTAGTTAAAACACCTTACTACTTCACTCATTGAAAAATGCAACTATTACAAAGAGTATTTTGTGATTACTTTAGAAAGAAATGCTTCATTTAAGCATTTATTTGCATATAAATATATAATTTATATAATTCTGTTTATTATATGAATATACAATTTATGTAATTAAATATATTGCTTCTAGAATATATGTCTGACCAGTTTCAGAATTCAATATTTCTCAACACATCGTTTACTCTATTAATTTCGCCTCCCACCATGTTTGACTGGGAAGTTTGATTTCCAAAGGAGTATCCCAAGAAATTATCAACATGAGAAAGAAAATAATCTGCTCCTGAATGAGTGTATTGAGGAAAGGTATTTATTTCCGGGTATTTCTATCCATCGTAAATAGGCATTTACAGGAAAAAAAAATGAGGAAAAGGAATTTTACATATAACTAAGAACATACTTTATCTAACACTGTCAATTAAAATTGTTAGGAGATTTTCTAATATTGATAACAGTCAAATGAGCCTTTGTACAATTAAGTTATACATCGCTTCTGTAAATATTTTTATTTTTATGAAATTATTGTTATGAAAAGATATAGAACGGGAAATATCTTAGAAAATGAAATGAGACTATATCCATTATTTTACATAATTGCATCACTAATACATAATTGTTGGATAAAGTGGGTGTTAGCTGAAGTGTGTCAACTTTGGTTAACAGTGTTGGCTTCTCAAATGGTTCACGTCCGTTCCAATTGTCTTTCCTTTTAACCCGGAAAGCTGGAAACTGCTTGGGTTGGCTGCATTCTCTGCCTGCATATCCCAGTGTATACTTTTAGCTCCTGAACAAGTCACATTCACGGCTCTCTAGGAAGGTTCCAGCAGGATTCCCCAGCTGGTGCCTTGCTCTCGGGAGCCGTCCCGCCGTGTGTCGGCGCGCTCCCCGCGGAGGCCGCTCAGCTGCCCTGCACACGCACGTCCGCGCGCCCTGCGGCTGCTGCAGGGATGCTCCTCTCCAGCATCTCCTTCACGGGCTGGCCAGCACTGGGGTCCAGCGGGCCCCTCAGGAGCTCCTCGACTCCCAAGCACCACTGAAAATACACACACTTGTTTTGCCTGGCTTAGGGGGTTAAGCTAGCGGAGATCCAAGTCCAAAAACTAGTGGAGCTGTTCAAATGGAAGGGTCCAGAGGAAAGAGAGAAAACACTGTTCACATCTCCATTGCAGCAAA